GCTGCCCTAGACTATATGAAGGGTTACACAGTGTGTGTCAAGAGCCAGCTGTGTGATACTAAGGTACCTGGACATTTATACAGCTGCCCTAGACTATATGAAGGGTTACACAGTGTGTGTCAAGAGCCAGCTGTGTGATACTAAGGTACCTGGACATTTATACAGCTGCCCTAGACTATATGAAGGGTTACACAGTGTGTGTCAAGAGCCAGCTGTGTGATACTAAGGTACCTGGACATTTATACAGCTGCCCTAGACTATATGAAGGGTTACACAGTGTGTGTCAAGAGCCAGCTGTGTGATACTAAGGTACCTGGACATTTATACAGCTGCCCTAGACTATATGAAGGGTTACACAGTGTGTGTCAAGAGCCAGCTGTGTGATACTAAGGTACCTGGACATTTATACAGCTGCCCTAGACTATATGAAGGGTTACACAGTGTGTGTCAAGAGCCAGCTGTGTGATACTAAGGTACCTGGACATTTATACAGCTGCCCTAGACTATATGAAGGGTTACATAATATACAAAAAGGGCGACAGGCAAGAGGCACTGAACTATAGGCCAGTGTCCTTGACTTGTATACCATGCAAGGTGATGGAGAAGATCGTGACAAAAAAACTGGTAACACATCTGGAGAGAAGGGACTTCGTGACAAATCGCCAACATGGGTTCAGGGAGGATAAATCTTGTCTGACTGGCTTAATAGAATTCTACGACCAGGTGACAAAGATTAAGCAAGAGAAGGCTGGGCGGACTGCATTTTCTTGGATTGTCGGAAAGCCTTTGACACTTTGACACTCTAAACTTTGTTAGAGTTTAACCCAAGCAAATGTAATGTAATGAAGATAGGTGTAGGGAGCAGGAGACCAGATACAAGGTATCATTTGGGAGATAAGATACTTCAAGAGTCAGAGAGAGAGAAAGACCTGGGGGTTGATATCACGCCAGACCTGTCCCCTGCAGCCCATATCAAGAGGATAACAGCAGCAGCATATGCCAGGTTGGCTAACATAAGAACGGCCTTTAGAAACTTGTGTAAGGAATCTTTCAGAACTTTGTATAGCACATATGTCAGACCAATCCTGGAGTATGCGGCTCCAGCATGGAGTCTATATGTAGTCAAGGATAAGACTAAACTGGAAAAGGTTCAAAGGTTAGCCACCAGACTAGTACCCGAACTGAGGGGCATGAGCTACGAGAAGAGACTACGGGAATTAAACCTCACGTCACTGGGAGACAGAAAAGTTAGGGGGGGACATGATCACCACATACAAGATTCTCAGAGGAACTGATAGGGTAGATAAAGACAGGCTATTAAACACAAGGGGCACACGCACTAGGGGACACAGGTGGAAACCGAGTGCCCAAATGAGCCATAGAGACCTTAGAAAAAAAATTCAGTGTCAGAGTAGTAGACAAATGGGATGCATTAGGCAGTGATGTGGTGGAGGCTGACTCCATACACAGCCTAAAGTGTAGATATGATAGAGCCCAGTAGGCTCAGGAACCTGTACATTAGTTGATTGACAGTCGAGAGGCGGGACCAAAGACCCAGAGTTCAACCCCCGCAAGCACATTTAGGTAAGTACAATTAGGTAAGTAGACACACACCCACAATTTATAAACCACTCAAACTGCCCCTTAAATCACGTGTAATTAGATGATAACTAAAGCATGGAGATTGTTCATTAAGCCTTAAGCGTCCAGCCTTAATTATTCTCAGACGAGCCAAGAGGCGATTATTACATATTGTCTTGATCAAGGGAGCTGTCCGCGCTGTTGAAGGCCATTCACACACACACACACACACACACACACACACACACACACACACACACACACACACACACACACACACACACACACACACACACACACACACATACATATTAAACAAAGAACAAAGATAGTTACCATTAGATAATATGGACTAACAACAGGAAGAAAGCTTTACTCTTCTTCTTGAGGTTATCTTAAGATGATTTCGGGGCTTTAGTGTCCCCGCGGCCCGGTCCTCGACCAGGCCTCCACCCCCAGGAAGCAGTCCGTGACAGCTGACTAACACCCAGGTACCTATTTTACTGCTAGCTAACAGGGGCATAGGGTGAAAGAAACTCTGTCCAATGTTTCTCGCTGGCGCCTGGGATCGAACCCAGGACCACAGGATCACAAGTCCAGCGTGCTGTCCGCTCGGCAGACTGGCTCCCCACCGGGTCATGAACAAATCCACAAGGGCCGTGACGAGGATTCGAACCTGCGTCCGGGAGCATCCCAGACACTGCCTTAATCGACTGAGCTACGACAGGGTTAAAAAGATGGTTCAACTCTCTTTAATCCTGTCGTAGCTCAGTCGATTAAGGCAGCGTCTGGGATTCTCCCGGACGCAGGTTCGAATCCTCGTCACGACCCTTATGGATTTGTTCATTTGATGCAGCACGTTACTGTGATCACTGTGTGTAATTGGAGTCATCTTTGCCTCCGTGTGGACGCCATCTTAAACCCACTGAACTCCATCAAACCTCTTAAATTAGCATTGAACCATGATGACACTGAACTGGACCTAAGACCACACATCTCTACATTGCTCCAGATTTGATTGGATACAAATTACACTCACAGAACGGAATATATCAGTATGAACAATTATAATATGTTTATATATCCTTCATCATTGAATTTTGAATTACCACCAACAGTGAAAAGAAATGTACGAAAGATTGAGAAAATGCGTGTTAGAATTAGTAATCTTACTTTTTCGGTCATATTTAATAATATATGTCTACAGGAAAGACTGCTACCAAAATATACTAATATCCTTCATCACTATATGTAGGATGCATAAAATGTCCCCAAGACAGTGTGACATAGTAACTGCCAGGGGTGGGGGTGGGGGGTCAGGTTGGGTTACCGTTACCTATGGCAGGTCAACCAGACTGTGGTGGGTATGTGGGCCTGCGGGCCGCTCCAAACAACAGCCTGTTGGACCAAGCTCTCACAAGTCAAGCCTGGCCTCAGGCCGGGCTTGGGGAGTAGAACAACTCCCAGAACCCCATCAACCAGGTAGGTGACTCTAGGTGACTGATCTCCCCCACTCCTAAACACTCTATTTAAGCAAAAGATGGATGTCCAGTCATTATAGACCGTTCGGGACCTTACGAGGTCCCGTTCGGCCGGTATATGAGGTATCTAGAGCCTTGCAGTGAGTCTGTGCCAGGTAAGTCCACTACGGGCTCACCATAGCCCGGGCTACTTGCCCCGCTCCTGTGCCAGGTAAGTCCTCTACGGGATCACCATAGCCCGTGCTACTTGGAACTTGTTCTGAGTAGCTGAATCTATAACAACAACAATAACTTGCAGTGACTTCACTGTTCTTGAAGATATCCTCAGAATCTTCTCAGAATCTTGCTGGTATCGCCTCTGGCTATCCTAGATGGTATGTTTTGCCTTTGTCAAGGACAAACAGCCTCTTAGGCTTATCGACGTCTCCGTAGGTCCACTATACTTGCCGCTGCTGGATGCTGCCCACAACAGGTGCCTAGCTCCCGGGGGTGACTCTGTACGACTAAGTGAACAGAGGCATCATAATAAAGGATAAAGTGTCTCCGTCTATCACGGGAATCAAACCCGGGACCTTTCGGTTGTGAACTGAGGGATCTGCATTTATGTGCTTTGTACTCCACTTATGTACTTTGTACTCCATTTATGTGCTTTGTACTCCATTTATGTGCTTTGTACTCCACTTATGTGCTTTGTACTCCACTTATGTGCTATTTACTGTTATGTACTCCACTTATGTGCTTTGTACTTCATTTGAAACTCTTCCTCTAAACTCATCCTCTTGATGTCTTCCCCTGCCTGTAGTCTCCCCCCCCCGTCTCCTGTAGTCCTGTAACGTGTTGTTCCAGCTGATCTCCTGCAGCTGGACCATGTAACCAAACACCATAACACAGTGGACACTGGCTGCAAGCAGCTGTTCATATCTTACTCCTTGATCTCCACTTGTGTAAACACCAGGGGTCAGATTCACGAAGCAGTTACGCAAGCACTTAAGAACCTGCACATCTTTCCTCAATCTTTGACGGCTTTGGTTACGTTTATTAAGCAGTTTAATAGCATGAAAAGTTGCCAATTAACTGTTATTGTTGTTATAAACAGCCTCCTGGTGCTTCGGAGATCATTAACTGTTTAATAATTGTAAACAAAGCCGCCAAAGATTGAGAAAAGATGTACAGGTTTGTAAGTGCTTGCGTAACTGCTTCGTGAATCTGGCCCCTGTACATTTTTCCTCAATCTTTGACTTCTTTGGTTACACTTATTAAACAGTTTACAAGAATGAAAACTTGCCAATCAACTGTTGTTATTGTTATAAACAGCCTCCTGGTGCTTCGGAGTTCCCTGTTTAATAATTATAAACAAAGCCGCCAAAGATTGAGAAAAGATGTACAGGTTTGTATGTGCTTGCGTAACTGCTTCTTGAATCTGGCCCCCTGGTCTAAAAAACAGTGCTGGTTTATCTTCTTGTTTCTCCCTTGTTGTTGACAAGGTGTGTTGCTTCGCAGAGTTCCTGTACGTGGTCTCTTCTAGTCTCGTCCTCCACGTGTCTGTTCAGTTCATTGTGGGATCCTTTGTTGACCAATATCCCTGTGGTTAAAGTCAGCTAGTATGAATACTCGGCGACTTTATCCAGCGATTCGACGTCGTATGTTCCTTGTGTGTTCATTCCCTCTTATTTGATACCTTTCTGTGCCTTTTAGAAAAGTGCATTTCCTATTAGTGTTGCTAGTTTTGTTTCCGTGATTGTTATAATGTGGGGCTGCTTCTCCTGTGTGCGTGCCGGAATAGTCGGATTTTTCCGAGGTGAAATGAATCAATCTGTCTCACAGTGTCTTCAAACGGGAGCATTTAACGATCTTTTAAGACATAATAAATGTAGCCACTGTATAATCACCATATTACAGCAGTCTGTATATCAATTATAACCATGTACCGTCTTGCAGATGCCGAAGGTGCTCCGCGGGATGACTGAAGATTCTGGCAGCCTTCTCACTCTGGTAAGTCAACTGTTGTTGTTCAGTCACTTGGTGAACACTTGACACCTCTAGTTTAGCCACCTCGGTGTATAGACAGACTGCACATGCACAAGTGCACTTCTTGCACGTGTGATGCTCTGCTACATGCAACTGCCCCTTGCAAGGGTGTTGTGCAAGGGGGGACTTTTCTAGCAGGGTGTACCCTGGTGTCTGAAGCCTCCCTCTGTGTCAGAGGTGACAGATATTCCGGAATTTTCTCGCAGCGTTTCTTGCCGGTGTCGTCAGATATTTTACGTCGTTTTACAGTCTTCTGGAACATGTTTACAACGTTCAGTGTGTAAGATGACTAGTGTGTAAAACAGTGTCACTCACAAGGTGACACACTCCTGACGCCATGACTGATGATTTCATTATATATGTACTGAGCTTCAGACGCAAGCACGTCACAGTTATGCCTTGGGGAGCTGAGGGCAGTCAAGGATGACAAGGAGTCACTGGCGCAGACTTGGCTGGGATCTGTGTCTAGGTGAGGAGGAGGTGCGCATTGTCGGGGGTGACGGTAAAATTGGTTGGAACTTATGCTCAAGCATCATGTTGTATTCTGTGGGCTATTGGGAGTGTGGGAGTTACCACCAGGACAGGTGGCGCCAGACATGAGGGAGTTACCACCAGGACAGGTGGCGCCAGACATGAGGGAGTTACCACCAGGACAGGTGGAGCTAGACATGAGGGAGTTACCACCAGGACAGGTGGAGCTAGACATGAGGGAGTTACCACCAGGACAGGTGGAGCCAGACATGAGGGAGTTACCACCAGGACAGGTGGAGCCAGACATGAGGGAGTTACCACCAGGACAGGTGGAGCTAGACATGAGGGAGTTACCACCAGGACAGGTGGAGCTAGACATGAAGGAGTTACCACCAGGACAGGTGGCGCTAGACATGAAGGAGTTACCACCAGGACAGGTGGAGCCAGACATGAGGGAGTTACCACCAGGACAGGTGGAGCCAGACATGAGGGAGTTACCACCAGGACAGGTGGCGCTAGACATGAAGGAGTTACCACCAGGACAGGTGGCGCCAGACATGAGGGAGTTACCACCAGGACAGGTGGAGCTAGACATGAGGGAGTTACCACCAGGACAGGTGGCGCCAGACATGAGGGAGTTACCACCAGGACAGGTGGAGCTAGACATGAAGGAGTTACCACCAGGACAGGTGGCGCCAGACATGAAGGAGTGACCACCAGGACAGGTGGCGCATCACAGCGACTGGTGCAAGAGTCCACCGTCGTGTTTACAACCCAAGAGTCCACAGCAGCCTGTCCGAGAGCGTGCGCGCGACCTTGGCCAGGACTCACTTGCGCAACCACTGACGAAGTGGTGGTGGTACATATTTCCACAATTATGACGGCTCTGTTTACATTTATTGGCGAGAGTCTTTTGAACTCTGAAAAACTACAAGGTTGTTGTTTATAACAATAACAACCCATGGGTTGTGAAGCTTGTAAACCGTTTGTCAACGTAGAAGCCGTGAGCAAGGAAAGGTATATATACATACAGGTTATATATACATACAGAAAGGTATATATACATACAGGTTATATATACATACAGAAAGGTATATATACATACAGGTTTGCCGGTCAGCGTTCACGTTTTAAACAGCAGAATCACTGTTCAAATTCGGTGATTCTACCAAGAATCACTGAAGGAGCGGACTCGGAAGAAAATGGTGCTGCGGACCTCAGCGGTCGATTCTCCGGTCTAGACAGCGTCCTCAAATAGGGTAGAATATCTGGTTCTGTACAAGATATCGGTGTTATCTCTGAAGATACGGGTGATAACGCTATAGGAGCCTCGTCCCCGGGAGGGAGACAAGGCAAAACAACGTTGGAAGTGACCGCTGGAACGTTGGGTGTTATGGGAACGTTCACGCCCTGGTGAGGCGTGGTGGGGGCGGGGGGGGGGGGAGGCCTTGTATGTGTAGTGTTCCATACATCTTGTCAACTCTCTCTCACACACACACACACACACACACACACACACACACACACACACACACACACGCACACGCGCACGCGCACACGCACACGCGCGCGTGTGTGTGGTGTGAAAAAAAAAAGTAGTTAGTAAACAGTTGAGAGGCGGGCCGAAAGAGCAAAGCTCAACCCCCGCAAAAAACACAACTAGTAAACACACACACACACACACACACACACACACTCTCTCTCTGTCTGTGTGTGTCTCTCTCTCTCTCTCTCTCTCTCTCTCTCTCTCTCTCTCTCTCTCTCTCTCTCTCTCTCTCTCTCTCTCTCTCTCTCTCTCTCTCTCTCTCCCCCACACACTACCCCCCCCCCCAGCTCCACACTAGCACATGTGCATGTTGTCCCTCGCGCCAGTGTGTGAGGTGCAGTAGTGGGTCACACTGTATTGTACTGTTCACGTGAGAGTCGAGAAAAACTAATGACACACTGGGAGATGTTGCGGGAGTGTGGGGGGGGGGGTGACACGCAGGCTGGCTCAACCCCTTGTTTATGTCAGGGATGTGTGGCGGCGGCCGAGGGGCAGGCCGTACTCACCTAGTTGTGCTTGCGGGGGTTGAACTCTGGCTCTTTGGTCCCGCCTCTCAACTGTCAATCAACTGGTGTACAGGTACCTCGTGTACAGGATTTCTGGTCAGTATTTCATCTGGGAATTATGTACTGTGGGGCGGGGTTTATATCTAGTAAATCGCGGCTCTTGGGTCACCAGCTGTGGGAGCGGGGCGTCTCATCTTGGGCCACCAGCTGTGGGAGCGGGGCATCTCATCTTGGGCCACCAGCTGTGGGAGCGGGGCATCTCATCTTGGGCCACCAGCTGTGGGAGCGGGGCGTCTCATCTTGGACCACCAGCTGTGGGAGTGGGGCGTCTCATCTTGGGCCACCAGCTGTGGGAGTGGGGCGTCTCATCTTGGGCCACCAGCTGTGGGAGCGGGGCATCTCATCTTGGGCCACCAGCTGTGGGAGCGGGGCATCTCATCTTGGGCCACCAGCTGTGGGAGTGGGGCGTCTCATCTTGGGCCACCAGCTGTGGGAGCGGGGCGTCTCATCTTGGGCCACCAGCTGTGGGAGCGGGGCGTCTCATCTTGGGCCACCAGCTGTGGGAGTGGGGCGTCTCATCTTGGGCCACCAGCTGTGGGAGTGGGGCGTCTCATCTTGGGCCACCAGCTGTGGGAGTGGGGCGTCTCATCTTGGGCCACCAGCTGTGGGAGTGGGGCGTCTCATCTTGGGCCACCAGCTGTGGGAGTGGGGCGTCTCATCTTGAGCCACCAGCTGTGGGAGCGGGGCGTCTCATCTTGGGCCACCAGCTGTGGGAGCGGGGCGTCTCATCTTGGGCCACCAGCTGTGGGAGTGGGGCGTCTCATCTTGGGCCACCAGCTGTGGGAGTGGGGCGTCTCATCTTGGGCCACCAGCTGTGGGAGTGGGGCGTCTCATCTTGTAGTAACCTTTCTAACATTTCGATGGTGTTCCATACCCTGATGGCTTGGTGCTGCAGTCTGATGTTTAGTGGCTGTATGTTCAGGAGTTCATGGAGCTCCTGGATTGTCTGATCATATGGTGGACGGTGTTTTGCTGCTCTCCTTAGCGCCTTATTTTGTACTGCTTGCAGTTTCTGTACTGTGGCGTTGGCAACTTAGGGGTAGGGGGGTGTTCCCCCTCTGCCAGGAGGAGGGGGGGGGACCAAGGGACATATCCCCCCTCCACCACCCCACCCCCCTTCTCCATTTAACAAGGCTGTCCGATAATAATGATCACATTGCTGCCCTCTGGGACTCTGTAAGTGGCGAGTCTTGTACTGAACCTTGAGCTACGAGGCTTCTCACTCCTCCCCCCCCCCTCTTAAATCCCCCTCCCCCCACTCCTCACAGCCGACAAAAACGAGACCCGGGTGCCGCCGGAGAGGTAGGAACTCTGGCGGCCAAAGAAGTGAAACTTGATTGTTAACACCACGAGGGCATGGGAGGGTGGTGTCATTGTAGGTGGCGGGGGTGTCATTGTAGGTGACGGGGGTGTCATTGTAGGTGACGGGGGTGTCATTGTAGGTGACGGGGGTGTTATTGTAGGTGACGGGGGTGTCATTGTAGGTGACGGGGGTGTCATTGTAGGTGACGGAGATGTCATTGTAGGTGGCGGGGGTGTCATTGTAGGTGGCGGGGGTGTCATTGTAGATGGCGGGGGTGTCATTGTAGGTGGCGGGGGTGTCATTGTAGGTGGCGGGGGTGTCATTGTAGGTGGCGGGGGTGTCATTGTAGGTGGCGGGGGTGTCATTGTAGGTGGCGGGGGTGTCATTGTAGGTGACGGGGGTGTCATTGTAGGTGACGGGGGTGTCACTGTAGGTGACGGGGGTGTCACTGTAGGTTACGGGGGTGTCATTGTAGGTGACGGGGGTGTCATTGTAGGTGACGGGGGTGTCATTGTAGGTGGCGGGGGTGTCATTGTAGGTGACGGTGTCATTGTAGGTGGCGGGGGTGTCATTGTAGGTGGCGGGGGTGTCATTGTAGGTGGCGGGGGTGTCATTGTGACGGGGGGTGTCATTGTGACGGGGGTGTCATTGTGACGGGGGGTGTCATTGTGACGGGGGGTGTCATTGTGACGGGGGGGGTCATTGTGACGGGGGGTGTCATTGTGACGGAGGGGTGTCATTGTGACGGAGGGGTGTCATTGTGACGGAGGGGTGTCATTGTGACGGGGGTGACATTGTGACGGGGGGTGTCATTGTGACGGGGGTGTCATTGTGACGGGGGTGTCATTGTGACGGGGGGTGTCATTGTGACGGGGGGTGTCATTGTGACGGGGGGTGTCAATGTGACGGGGGTGTCATTGTGACGGAGGTGACATTGTGACGGGGGGGTGTCATTGTGACGGGGGTGTCAATGTGACGGGGGGTGTCATTGTGACGGGGTGTGTCAATGTGACGGGGGGGTGTCAATGTGACGGGGGTGACATTGTGACGGGGGTGACATTGTGACGGGGGGTGTCAT